AGGAATCTAATTATGTAGTAATCACATGTCGACACTAGATGGCAGTGTTGTTCTAACGGTTCCTCTAACTACCACCAGTTTGCAGTTTATCACTGAAACCAGAGCAGGTTTACAGATTACCTTTGTCATGTAGCTATAATAGAGAAATATATTTTACTTTACATTTTTCAAGTAAAACTTTCACATTAACAGCTTGTTTCATTGGGAACGATGTTATGAAGTCGTTTCCTAGAGGCCTTCAAGTTTTCCCACCATCTCATCTCCCTTGTTATCTGTGTGCCTCAATACACCAGCGGATCTTCAGAGGAGCCAGGAGAGACCTTCACCACTAAGGAAGGTGTGGACGTCCATCAGCGAATCCACTGCTGGGATGAGCTCTGATGTTCCTGCTTCAGCCTGGTGGGCTTTCTGCTAGCCGCAGAGAGGAGGCCCCACTGAAGCCATGGTGGACCCCAGACCCTCAGCTGACATGAAACTTCTCACCACTGCAGCTTCTTCTGGTGTCCTTCTACTACAGCGAGCCATGGAGTCCACAGCTTCCTTTCACTGAGGATCTGTTCAGGCGTGTTACAGTCCCACCATTTCTGTGTCATTTAGGTGTTATTTTCCATTATATTCAAGCAGTCTAAACTTACTCTCTGCTGCCCCCTTGTGCCTGTCTTCTTTCCCTTAGCTTCCTTCTAGTTTCTTCCATCCACACCTGCTCCCCATCATCTGATCACCCCAGTATTTGTTCTGTCTCCCATATAAGCTCTTCCTGTGCAGTTCTTCAGTGCTGCTTCCTTGTTGTTATTTGTTACTTCCTCGTCTCTGGCTCCCCATGAGAGTTTCCCTGGTTTGCTGGTTTTTTGGTTCTTTGTATTTTTTGTGTTTTTGGGATGTTTGCTTCATTTTTTCATTAAATCTACGAGAACTCATCTCTGCATTTTGGGTCCTAAAGCAACCTCACCCCCCACATTGACATTAGGAGCTTCACCCATCTTAATCTGAAAATACAACAAAACTGACAGTTGTTAAACTGTCAGTTTTAATCATTTAGACCAGAGGTCACGGATCAGCGGACCGCAGTCCAGATCCAGACCCACCTGCTGGTTAACCTGGACCCAACCTGATTTCAAACATTTATAAATAACCACATGTTCTTCTCCGACAGTGTCTTATTTCACTTGCGCCGCTTCTCCTGTTAATACGGTAAAGCCATCCGGAGC